GGTATTTCTAATTCCAATTTTCTGAAGAAGTGCCATACTATTTTCTACAGTGGTTGAACCATTTTATAGTCCCACCTGCTGGAAAGTCCCAGTGTTTCCACACCTCACCAGCATTTGTTTTCTGGGTTTTTTGTTTTGTTTTTTAACTTTGCTATTTTTGCTTTGATTTGCATCTCTCTAATGCCTAATGGGAGTCCTGGTGTGGCAATGTGGGTTAATGTACGAGACTGCAAAGCCCTTTGAACTGCAAACTCAGCAGTTCAAGCTCACCTCAGAAACCCTAGACAGGGTTGCTATGGGTCAATACTGACTCGATGACACTTTACAACAACAACAATGTCTAATGATCATTCTTCATGTTTATAGGGTGCCTGAAGGTCTTTCTTAGTGAAGTGTCTGTTCATGTCCTGTGCCCTTTTTAAATTGGGTTATTTGTCTTTTTCATGTAGAGGTGTAGTTTTCTATAAATTTTATAGATTAATTCCTTTTTTGACATGTCATTGCAAAAATTTTCCCTGGTCTGCGGGCTCCCTTTTTACTCTTTGGGTGATATCTTTGGATACATGTAAGCGCCAGATTTTTAGGAGGTCCCAGTCATCTGTATTATCTTCTACTATTTGTGTGTTTTTAGTAATGTTTGATAGTATATTTATGCCATGTATTAGAGCCCCTAAGTTTGTCCCTATTTTTTCATTGATGATCTTTATAGTTCTCGGTCTTTAAACTACATTGAGTTTGTTTTTGTATATGGTGTGAGATATGAATTTTGTTTCATTCTCCTGCAAATGGATTTCCAGTTTTTCTAGTACCATTTGTTGGTAACTATCTCTTTTCCGTTTAATATATTTTGCCTCTTTGTCAAAGATCAGCTGACTGTATATGGATGGATTTACTTCTGGGTTCTCAATTCTATTATATTGAGCTATGTGTCTTTTGTTGTACCAGTATCAGGCTGTTTTGACCACCATGGCCATGTAGTAAATTTTGAAATCAGGGAGTGAGAGCTTTCCAACTTTGTTCTTCTTAAATAATGCTTTGCTTATCCAGGGTTTCTTTCCTTTCCACATAAAGTTAGTGAACAGTTTTTTTATTTCTTTAAAGAATGTTGTTAGAATCTAGGTTGGGATTGTGTTGTATCTATCGATTACTTTGGACAGTGTTGACATTTTCACAATGTTAAGTCTTCCTATCTATGAACATGGTATATTCTTCCATTTTTGCAACTCTCTTGGTTTCTTGTAGTAGTGTTTTGTAGTTTTCTTTGTATAGGTCTTTTGTTTCTCTGGTTAGATTTATTCCTAAGTATTTCATCTTTTGGGAGGTTATTGTAAATGGTATTTTCCTCATTTCCTTTTCAGAGTTGTGTTTATTAGTAGAGAGGAATCAGGATGATTTTTGTATATTGATCTTGTACTCTGCTACTTTGCTGAATCTTTCGATGAGTTCCGGTGACTTTCTTTTTTCTATGTATAGGATCATATCATCTGCAAATAGAAAGAGTTTTATTTCTTTTTTGCCAAATTGGATGACTTTAATCTCCCTTTCTTGCAGTATAGCTTTGGCTAATACTTCCAACACAATATTGAATAGGAGTGGTGATAAGGACATTCTTGTCTGGTTCCTATTTGCACATGAATACTTTCAGTTTCTATCCACTGGGTGTGATGTTGGCTGTTGGATATGTATATATGCTCTTAATTATGTTGAGGAATTTCCCTTCAATTCCTACTTTGTTGAGCGTTTTTATCAGAAATGAATGTTGAATTTTGTCAAATGCTTTTTCTGCAGTAATCAATATGATAATGTAGTTATTTTCCTTTCTTTTATTTATATGGTAGATTACACTGATTAGTTTTCTAATATTGAACCACCCTTACTTCTAGGGTATGACTCTTACTTGATCATGATGTTTTGTGGGTTTTGTTTTGTTTTGTTTTTTGATACATTTCATTATCATTTTTCTGAATTCCTTCTCAGGCATTTCCAAAGCCTGCCCTACTTCCAATGTGAAATCTAGGTCTACCTCTAGGTCATTTGTTTCAGTCACTTTATCTTGTTTCTCTACATGTGCTTAATAGTCATCTGTTTCTTGGACATATTCAGTAGCTAGCTGTGACCTTAATAATTAGATGAATGTGTGTTGATATTTTATTATGATTTCTGATTGCCTCCAAGTAGATGTGATCAGGAGATGGGCTTCCCTTTTCACTGTTCTTATTACTCAACTAAGAGTAACTATTGCAGGCATTGGCTGCCTACCTGGTTTATGGCAGCCGGTATTGGTTCTTGCCTGGATGGTGGAATTTTATAGGGTGTGATTGTAGCTTGACTGTATGACCACAATTGCTGTCTCTTCTTGGGTAATGTAGGGAGGAAAGAGCCCCGTAAATGTTGTTGTTGTTAAGTACCATTGAGTTGGTTCCGAACTATAGAAACCCTGTATAGGGTTTCCAAGGAGCACCTGGTGAGCTTAAACCACCAATCTTGGAGTTCAAACTGACTTTGCAATCCAGTGCATTAACCAACAGCACCACAGAGGGGACCAAAAAATACCAAAACAGCAACAACAAAAAAGACAAAAAAGAGAGAAGAGAAAAACAAAATTCTGTAGCAAAATATGAGTATGACTTTAATTTCCCTCTCTCAGCTTCTTGCCCTCAAGGCTGCCTGAGAAATTTCAAGATGCCATTGTTGGTCATTATGATGTAACTCAGGATTTAATTTTTAGCCTGTTTCCTTTTTAAATCTGTCTCTCACTCCACAACCTCCGTTCAGGCCTTTTTCCTAGTGATTAACAGTTCAGGACTGGCTGTGGCCATTTTGCTCTGCCATTTGGTTTTAAGGGGATCCTTTCCCTTTAAATTCTGAGCAGATCTGTGAGCATACGTATTAGAACTCTCTGGGGGTGGAGAGGTTGTCTACTTGCTCAAGCACCATCTCTAGTCACCAGAATAGAAGTACACAGCCAGTAAGAGTCCAGTGAACAGAGAAAAAAAGAAAAAAAGAGAGAGAGAATGTCCATACCTTTATCTCTGAGTATGTGTCAGGCGTTAGCTGTGGCTCTGATCCCACCCAGCTCCATCTTGCCCAAGATGGACACTCTGGGAGCCACTGAGGCCAGCCAATCAGAAAATTATAGATTTCTTGTTTCCACTAAAAATTCCACTGGCTATAAGCCTTCAAACTTTCTAAATATTCCTTTATATGTAATTCAGAGTTCTGTGACCATCCCCTGAACCTCCTTCATCTGGTATTCTGTATTATTGCTGTCGGAGGTCCTCACTGCAGTTCTCCCTGATCCATCATCAAGCTTCACCCCTGTATTATTATTATTATTGATATGTTGCTGAATTCTATTGGCTAGGATTTTATTGAGAATATTTGCATCTATGTTTATGAGGGATATTGATCTTTGCCTGGTTTTGGGTATGAGGGTTATGCTTGCTTCATTAAATATATTCAGGCATTTTCCATTCTTTTCTATGTTCTAGAATAGTTTGAGTAAAATTGGTGTCAGCTCTTCTCTGAATGTCTGGTAGAATTCTCCAGGAAAGTAAAGCAAATCTTGACCAAGACTTTTTTGTTGTTGGGAGTTTTTTTTTTTTTTTCAAATTACCTGATCAATTTCTTCTTTTGTTATAGGTCTGTTCAACTTTTCTACTTCAAGCTGTGTTAGTTTAGTTAGATTGTGTTTTTCTAAAAATCTATCCATTGAACATCTTTTGACTTATTTATTCCTTGCTTTTATCTCCCCCCCTCCCCCACCACCACCTCTTTAAAATAAGAATTGACTGATAGGGTTTCATAATACTCTTTGTTCCTGTCCTTGTAGAATTTTTCTGGACTGCATGGTGCTGTGGACTTGGTGAACCTACAAGTGTGTCTGATGCCCTTTCTGGTCCCCATTCTTCTTATCTGTGAAACAGCAAAATTGGACCCACTGATTTCAAAACTAGCTCTAAAAATTATCTGATTGTTTTATAAGAAAATAATGAATAAGGGTGAGAAAGATTCTGAATTTTGGACTGGGACCAGAAAATGAGGTCAATGATTAGAACAAACATTATTCTTACTAACAACAACAATAATAACAGTCCTGTTATGTACCCTGGCAATATTTTATTCTGTTATATATAAGGTATGTATGAGTCGAAGCAAACTTGCCAGCAATTTATAACAACTGTTTGGCACAATGCTAAGTGTATTAGATACATTACTTTATTAAATCCTCATAACAGCTCTGCTGTTCTAAGGAACAGAAAACTGAAGCTCAAAGTGGTTAAGTTAATTGACTAAAGTTGCACAACTGGTAAGTAGTTGAGCCAACGATTTGAATCCTGGTCTCTGACTCCAAAGTCTCTGCTTTGCTTTGCTTTTTTCTAACTTCTTATTGTGAGTTGAGTAAAGATTTACAGAACAGATCATCAGTTTTATATTCATCAATTCATACATATTTTGTTTCATCTAATTGATTACAATCCCTTCAATATCATTTATCCCATTTCCTCCCTGTGTTTCCTGTTTCCATTCTTCCTTCTTTCTTAACTTTCCCACACTTTGTCTTTGGGTAAATGCTGCCTTTTTATATATATATATAATCTCAAATGGTTAATTATTCTAAGGTATGTATACTTCACTGATATTACTGTTCCCTTTATAAACCTGTCTAATGCTTCATTGAAAATTGAGCCATGAGGATGAATTTTCCTTTCCAAACCTTAAGAGTGACTACAGGCCTTAATCTCAGGGGTTCTACCTGTTTCTTATGGTTTTGAGTTTTGTTCCACATTTTCTCCTACTCTATCCAGGACCTTCTATGTGATCCCTTTCAGAGCAGTTGGCAGTGATAGCCAGACATCATCTAGTTCTTCTGGTCTCAGAGTTGTGGAGGCTGAGGTTCACATGGATCATTAGTCCACTGGACTAGTTGTTTCCATCATCTCTGATTTTCTTTACTCTTCTGTTCTCTGGAGAGGGAGAGACCAATAATTACACCTCTGATGGCCACTCGTGAAGTTTTAAAGACCCCCATTGCTACTCACCAAAGTAGGATGAAGAACATTTTCTGTGTGGTCTGTTATGCACATTGACTTTGGTGTCCCCAGAGACTGTGGTCCTGAGAACCTCAGACCCAGCAACTCATTCCCTCATGGTGTTTGGTTATGTCTCACAAGTTTTCATAACTTTGCCTTCTGTATGCTCCACCACACTCAGGGATATTTTGCAGCAAAAGTAAATACACATGTACAAATATCTTCTGTCAATCCTATATATATTTCTGGGTATACTTCCACTCCCTCCTACACCTGTTCAGCCTTTGAACCTATTCATGCATCTACTCATAGATTACCATTGTTGTTGTTGTTAATTGCTGTCCAGTCAATTCTACTCATAGTGACCCTATATGTGTTTCCAAGGAGCATCTGGTGAGTTTGAACCTCTGACCTTGCCATTTAAACTGACCTTGCAGTATAGTGTTTATCCAACAGTACCACACCAGGGTTCCATAAGATTGCCATTATTATAGGATTATATGTATAATAGTATTTACTTCTGTTGCCTTTAACTCTTGCACACCTCCCAGTGTCTTCCCCTGTTTCCATCAGTTTTTGTCAACTTCCTTCTTACAATATATTGCCTTCCCTTTCTACTTCTACTTGTTTTGTTACATTTACCAATTTCCCTGATTTCTGTCATCTTCACAGTAGCTCTGGGTATCAAGAGCTGTGACTTCCAGACAGTAAGAAACAATGAGGAGCACCACACCAAGGCCATCAGCTCCCAGTGCCTAATTGTAAGGAGAGGGCAGCCCTTCACCCTCATCCTGCATTTCCATGCCCCAATCCACACATTTCTGCCTGTCCTGAAGAAGGTGACCCTTGTTGCACAAACTGGTAAGTGGAGCTGAGCCCTTTGGCAGCAATACCAGATTTTCTCATTCTAGCACCCCATCAGAGAAAATGATCCTCAAGGGGCAAATGTCTCATACTGTACTTGGGCCTCAAGGAAGTCCTACCCATGTGGCAGGGCTGTTGCGCAGTTGCCATGAGATACTGTGTATAATAACTATTGCTTATGATGATTCAGGAGTCCTGGTGTGGCACCATAGGATAAACACTGGACCACTAACTGCAAGACCAGCTGTTCAAACCCACCAGCTTCTCCTCAGAAACCCTATACAGGGTCACTATGAGTCGGAACCAGTGTGACAGCACTTTACAACAGTAACATTATGATTCAGAAGCTGCTCGGTAGCATTATCACAAGAAGGTCCCCTTTTCATTGTAACCAGATCAACTTTCTGGAGAAGCCTCAGTGGGATCTAATTGTTATTATTTATTGAATCTGTACTACATGTGAGATTTGGGGCCAAGTACTTTACATGCAATATCTCATTGACTCCTCACATGGGCCCTATGAAGCAGGTACTATTATTTTGCCCATTTTCTAGATTATGAACCTTTTTAGATATAGGTCCACGGGTGCTAATAACCCATCTTCACCCTTTATACCTCCGTAGACATACTCCTGGATATTCTTTCTACCCCAAACCAATTTACATCTCTTCCAACTTTGTAACACTCTAACTTTATTACTCTGAGTTGTAGTCAAAAAGTCAAATGATAGGTTCATCACTATGTGTCTGCAGGAGAGCAGCCTTCCAAGGACAATAGGACTAAAGTCACATTCCCCATCTCCAGTCTGGGCGATCAAAAGTGGTGGAGTGCAATGGTAAAGGAGAGAGATGCCCAGTCCTGGACCATTGCTGTGACGACGCCCGCAGATGCCATTATTGGCTATTACTCACTCCTGCTGCAGGTCTCTGGCAAGAAGAAACACCCACTGGGCCAGTTCATACTGCTCTTTAATCCCTGGAATAAAGGTAAGTTTGGGACTGGATCATCATGAACTCCAGCACTAAGGTACAGCTGTGACAGGGAGCTGATGCCCCAGGCCCTAGGGCAACTCATTCGATGTTATTGCTGGTGCCTTCTTGCTGGAAGGATAGTTTGTTAGATGTAGGGACTTGTCTTGGTGTCACTAATGGAAGAAATAAATCGGGACTTCTAACTTAAAGCAAAATCTTCTCTCACCACTCAGCCCTGGTGCTGACTCAGGCTGTTTTGATCACAGAAATAGAGACTCACTGAAATCACTTTATGGAAAGAGATTTTTTTTTTTTTTTTTGTAAGAGTACAGGGGCAAGACAGTGTTTCTCTGCTATTCTTAAGGTTTTCATTGACTAATCATTTGGAAGTAGTTTGTTACTCCTACTTCCTAGTCTGTCTTTGTCTGGAAGCTCCTCTGAAACTTGTCCACCATGGGTGACCCCGTTGGTATTTAAAATAGCTTCCAGAATCACAGCAACTGATAAGCCACCACAGTACAACAAACTGACAGAAGAACTGGATTAAGGTGCATCTGACCTAAGCCATGGTATTTTCAATAACCTCATATGCATGTGAAAGCTGGACAGTGAATAAGGAAGATCATAGAAGAATTGATGCTTTTGAGTTATGGTGTTGAAGAAGAATATTGAAAGTGCCATGGACTGTCAAAAGAACCAACAGATCTGTGTTGGAAGAAGTGCAGTCAGAGTGCTCCTTGGAAGCAAATATGGCCAAACTTCATCTCTCATACTTTGGACATATTGTCAGGAGGGACCAGTCGCTGGAGAAGGATATCATGTTTGGTGAGGTGGAGGGTTAGAAAAAAAGAGGAAGAGAAAGACCCCCAATGAGGTGAATTGGCCAAGTGGCAGCATCAATGGGCTCAAGCGTGGCAATAGTTGTGAGGTTGGCCCAGGATCAGGCAGTGCTTTGTTCTGTTGTACATAGGGTTGCTATGAGCTGGTACCGACTCGATGGCACCTAACAGCAACAGGAGCAAGAACTGCAAAGTTCTTTAGGAATTACGGCAGCCTGAGGAATGCACCTCTCTCTTTCTCTTTGGGTTCCCTTACTCTGCTGACAGTATGAATCTAGGCTTTGTGAGATTTGAAGCCTATGTAATTTGAATAGCCTTCTTTTAAAAAAAGAATATAAAGTTTTGAATGGCTAGTACTCCTCCCAGAAATTCATGGGTAGAATTCTAGTCTTCCATAGGGGAGAATCCACTTGTTGCCAGTGAATTGGTTCTGACCCATAGTGACCCTATAGGTGAGAGTACAATGACTGTATAGGATCTCCAAAGTTGTGAATCTTTATGGGAGCAGACTGCCACATCTGTCTCCCAAAGAGTGCCTACTGATTTCAAACTGCCAGCCTTTTGGTTAGCAGTTGAGCACTTAACACTGTGCCACCAGTGATCCTCTCTCGCCAATGCAGTTCAGGTGCAGCCACCATCTATATGTCAGCAGAAATGTGTGTGTTGCTAAGATGCTGAAGAGGTTTCAGTAGAGCTTCTAGACTAGGAATAAAAGCCTGGCTATCTACTTCTGAAAACTGGCCTCCAAAAGCCCTGAGGATCACAACAGTTGGATCTGCAAGCAATCATAGGGATGGTGCAGGACTGGTGATTTGTCCTATTGTACATTGTGCCACCATGGATCAGAGCTAGTCAACAATGGCTAACAACAATAACAACAGCAAGGTTCCTCCCAGGCTTTGATGGGGCTGTACCAGTGAGGGGCTCTGAAGGTTCAGCTTCATCAGCTTCACAAAAAATCTACCCCAAGTCTGTCTTCTAGTTTCCTCTCTCAACTTCTCTCCACCTGTTTGGTCAGTAGCTCAGCCAGCCTATGAGTGTGCTGCCTTGGGGTCAGGTGTCCTCCAGTGGCCATCTCTGGCAAAGAGCAGCCCTAGCAGTGACTGGACTATTTTATCTAGAAAGAGCCATTGGTTTTTATTGACCCAATGTCTTCTCTATCTCTGCATTCTAATGACTCTTTCCTTTTCAAATCTGCCAACATCTACTGTAGTCTCCTGAGCTCCCTGAAATCTTCTTTGGAGGAATGGGGAACATTCCTCTCCCTCTCCTACCCCAGACAATAAGCACACAGGCCTCTTCAAGAGTTTTAGCACCAGCCGAGAAGGAACCCTTATTACAAGGTAGGGCTGCAAAAGAGGAGCAAACATGGAAAAGTAAAAGGGATCTTCCCAGGTTTCTACAAGTCCCATTCTTGGAAATGGGACTTTCCCAGATTTGGAAATGCACATAATATAATGAAAATGAGAGTTCTGTTTAAGAACCCCATTTCCTTACTTTCATTCTCTATGGTACATGAATCTGTGGATTCTGCCTTTCCACTTCTCTTACCTCGCTAGAATGGGGTTCTCCAGTTCTCTCCTTCAGGAGGCCACCCCCATTCTCAATTCAAGCCCTTCTTTCCTGCTCCAAAGTGGAACAATCGGTGGAAACTAATGTCCATTTATGGGGGCAGTGATGACTCTGTGGTAGGATTCTCACCTTCTATGTGGGAGACCTGGATTGTATTCCTGGTCACTGCACCTCCTGTGCACTTCCCACTTGTCTGTTGTCAGTGGAGGCTTGTGTGTTGCTATGATGAACAGGTTTCAGCAGAGCTTCCAGACTGAAAAAAGGTCTTGTGATCTACTTCTGAAAAACAGTCAATGAAAAACCCTATGGAGTACAACGGTCCAATCCATAACCAATCATGGGGATAGTGCAGGACTAGGCAGTATTTTGTGTTATGTGCATGGGTTGCTATGAGTTGGGGCCAACTCAACAGCTGCTAACAACAACAATGTCCCCTGGATCCAAGTGGATAAGTGTGAATTCTGTGCTCTTTCAACTTCAAGGAGACCCATGGCATTCCACATACTGGAAGAAAAATCCTAAAGCCATTTCCCGCACAAGCTGAGGCTGTTGTGTACCTGCCTGGCTGACTCTGGGTCCACTCCCAGTGCCTCCAGCCAGAACAAAGACACAGCAAAGACGATTGTAAAACAATGCTCAGTGCAGAGGGAAGCCACAATCTTGACTCATTTCAGGAGTCTTGTTTTTGGTCTCAGCTTGCATGGACCTGCTGGGTAAGGCCTCTCTGTGTAAAGGTGTGTGGAGGTGTCTGCCTGGTAGGGTTGAGTTGTTGGCGCTGATCATTTACTAGGTAATGAAGCGATTTTCAGAGATCATCTGGCATCTCGGTCCCATCTTAGCATACTTAGACATAAGACTCTCCTAGATTCAAAAGGAAAATGTATATCATGTAATGAAAATCAGGGTCCAATTCATAAACTGGGAAGTTTATAAAAAAGGGACACACCCTGGAGAGAGGAGAAGGCTGCTACTATCTGTGCTCTCAACATCTACTTCCTGAACCCTGCAGATCTTGGGATCAATATCACACCTGGGTTTAAAGTGATTTCCAAAGAAGTGATGTTGAACTAAATTCATGGAGATGCCTTGAGTTGGAGGGTGAAGGTAGAAGACTCCTTGGACACACAGTTCTGTAAGATCAGGACTAATCTGTTCAGGGCTTTTTCACTTCTATTATTTCAACCTTCTGTTGCCTTGGGTACCCTCGTCCTAGAATCTAGGGGACCCAAGAAAGATGCAGTCAATAGCTGCACTGTGTGATTTGGGACTTCTTCTCTTTCTAGTCCCCAGGAGCCAGTTTAAAAATCCCTCACTCCACTTACCTACCTACCAAGTGCAGAGTTCCACAAAAGCTCCCTGCTTCCTAGAGTGAGGAATGTCCTTAAAAGCCTCCACTTTCCTCCTGGTCCCAAACCTGTGGACTTCCATGTGCCCTCCCTTGGGTGAGGAAAACAGGAGCAAACAGACCGTGGAAATCATGGGTTCACTTGGACACATCCAGTGTTCTGGCTTCCATTCCACCCAGATCCAGCACTCCCTCTAAATCTCTCTTGCACCCACCCTGCCAATCTATGATTGTTTTTTCTGAAACACTTGTTTGCTGCAACTTTCTTTGGAACAACTAGGCATTTGACAGTCTGCCTGGTTGACCATGATGGCTGTGCCTTGGTTAATTCAGAGACTCTAGCCCCCTTCACCAGTTCTCCACCAGTGAGAAGGCCAGGTCCCAGTGGTTCTAGAGTGAGGAGTTCTGCCTGCAGCCAAATCTGACCCACTGAGCAAGGAGAGCAGAGGCCCTGGATATGGAGGGCAGACCTAGAACACCACCCTGCTTCTCACCAGACGATCCCGTGTTCCTGGAGAATGAGGCTCTACGCGAGGAATACTTGTTGAACCAGAATGGCCTCATCTACTTAGGCACGTCTGACTGCATCCAGACAAAGTCCTGGGACTTTGGCCAGGTATTGGGGGCCTCCAGATTGGGGACAGGGCAGGGACTATCCTATAACTTTCAGTGTTCAGGCCAGAGCTGGCAGGTCCACTAGCCTCTGGTCTTGTGGCAATTTCTTTAGTTAATTTCAACTTTGTGGTACCTTTCTTTCCTCAAGTCATTGTCAGGCCATCCTTGATGGCTACCACAGTTACCTTCCTAAAAACTGAGGCAAATCAAATTTCTGTTGTCTCCTCATTGTCTACAGGATAAAAACAAATCTTCTGGCTTGTCACATAAAACCCTTCACAACCAAGTCACTATGTTTCTTCCCCCAGTGCTCCAGCTCCTCCATATCCCTTTAATACACAGACTGAATGATCCCTCTGTCTAAAGGAGCTTTTCCGTCTTTATCCCCTGGAACATGCCACTGTCTGTGTTGTCTGTTCTGTGTTGGTATTGCTGCTAGAGTCCTTGCCACATTACTATATTCTCAGTGGTGTAGGTCTATCTTAGTTGTCTAGTGATGCTGATAAGAAGAATATCACAGTGGGTGGCTTCGATGAACAGAAATTGATTTTCTCACAGTTTAGGAGGCTAGAAGTCTAAATTCAGGCATCAGCTCTAGGGGAAGGTTCTGTCAGTTCTGGAGTAAGGAAGGTCCTTGTCTCTCTTAGTTTCTCTTCCTTGGTTCTTTTGTGTGGTTAATGTTTCTCCGTTGTGTTTCCTTGCTTCTGTGTTGCATCTGTTCTTTGCATATCTCCAAAATGATTGGCTTAAAACACACCCTGCACTGATATGGCCTCATTAATATAAAATAGAAAATCCCATTCCCAAATGGGATTACATCCACAAATCTAGGTGTTGAAATTGATAGCACATATTTTGGAGGAACAAGTTCAATCCACAATGGTGTCCCTTTCCACTCCTAAACTGTGGTCTTCCATGATCAGGAGCTGTATCTGCATTCTCCACACCTGGATCAATGCTGGCTGAAGCAGCAGGCACTCAATAAATATAAAACAACAGAAACAAAATGAAAGGACATAGCCCTTGTTCTCAAGGGTTCACACCTTACTGGGTGGGGAGAATCAGCAAAGGACTGAACTGTCTGAAACAGAATCCAGGGGGCACAATGGAAGGGAGGAGAAGCCAGAACTCCGGGAAGGGACCAGGAGGTAAGGGAGGAAGGGTGGAATCTCAGCAAAGGACAAGATGACAGGGCTGTCTTTCGGGGTGAATACCTGAGCTGGAGACCCTTCATCATGGCCCTGTCTGGTCCTTATAGTTCGAGAGACATGTCATCGACCTTAGCCTGGGCTTGCTGAGCAGAAACAAGCAGGTGAAAGAGTGGAGCAACCCGATGCATGTTGCCCGGGTATTGGGCGACTTGGTGAGTGAGGAGTGGGGGGAGGCCAAAGTCGGGAGGAAATGAGACAAGAACCCTCCCACAGATCTGCTTCACCTCAGTTGTCCTGGAAATCTTCTCCTCCGGGGCTGTGGGAGACAGTTCGTGGAGAAAGGTCTGAGTGAGGAGGAGAAAAGGACAGGTGATGGCACCCACCAACCAGAAAACCAGAGTCCTAGTGCGGCGCTGTGGGATAATGCACTAGACCGCAAGGTCAGTTTGAACTGGACCACAAGGTTGATGCTTCACATTCACCAGCCACTCCTCAGAAACCCTATTGCTGTTGTTACGTGCCGTGGAGTCAGTTCTGACCCACAACGACCCTGTACAGGATTTCCGAGGCTGTAAATCTTTATGGGAGCAGAAAGCCTCATCTTTCTCCCGTGGATCAGCTGGTAATTTCGAACTGCTGACCTTAAGGTTCACAGCCCAATTCGTAACCACTACGCTACCAGAGCTCCTTCAGAAACACTATACAGAGTCTCTATTAGTCAGAACGGACTCGAAGGCACTTAACAACAACAAACCAGAAAACCAGATGCTGTTGAATCAATTCTGACTCATGACTATGCAGAGTAGAATGACTCCATTCAAGGCCCTGAACTTTCAGAATCAGATCACCAGACCTTTCTTTCAAGGTGCCTTTCTCAATAATGGGTTTAAACTGCCAACGTTTTGGTTCGTAGTTTAGGGTTTAACTGTGTCACTCAGGGACTCTTATTTTTATAACACCCACAGAGGCAAGAGAAACAAAGGGAGACATCATCTTTCAGGACTGGGTGGAAGACAAAATCCAAGGGCTCTTCTAAAAGGGATCACATTAGAAGGTCCTAAGTAAATAGAGGTAAAATATGGAACAGAATTCAAAATTATATATATAAGACCAGATTTACTGATCAGAAAGAGACTGAAGGACCCTGAGATTGTGGCCCTTGGTCACCCTTTAGGTCTGACACTGGACTCACCCTCATGGCTCAATTTTCAGCTAAGCGGTAGATAGGTATATAGGTTGGGACAACAACACTAGTAAGGTGTGCTCACCATGGAATGATCAACCATTCAAGATCAAAATGGCAGCATTTACTTGAGGACAAAGTTCAGAAGAGTTAGGAAGGAGGTAGAATAGAAACAAGAATCACAGGAAGTAAGATAAATGATACTACACGGAGGGGATTGCAATCATTGAAATGAAATAAAGTATAAGATTTGTTGAATGTAAAACTGATCATCTATTCTGTAAACCTTCACTCAACTCATAATAAAAAGTTAAAAAACAAAACAAAACCAAGAGCTAAAATTGGCCTTGATTTCCTCAGAAGACTCTTCCTTCTCCCAGTCTCCTCTCCTTAGCCCCAGTCTGAGAGGGAGAGGTTGTTGTTGTTAAGTGCCGTCAAGTTGGTTCTGACTCACAGTGACACAGTGTAGGGTGCTGGTGAGTTTGAACCGCTGACCTTGAGATTCAAATTGACCTTGTGGTCAGTCGAGTGCTTATCCTACAGTGCCATACCAGGACTCCGGAAGGACAGGTAGGGTCCATTTTACCCAGTGTTTTCTGTTAAGGTGGTTAAAGGGATGTTTTTATTTCTAACGTATTCCCAGGAATATCCAGACCATGACAGTAGCTTGGCCCTTTCCCACAATCCCTAAAAGTATTTCACAGGAGTAACATGCTCCCATTTTCCCTTGAAGGGAAACTCTGGATATCCCTCTGAGACACAATGGGGGAAGCAAAGACTAAATAGGCCTCAAGTACACAGGTTCAAATGACCTCAAAGGAGCCAGGGTTCAGGAAGTTAAGAACCCCTGAGACTAACTCCTAATGACTAGGGGGCACAGGGAGGGGCTACTATCACACTATTCTTTGTGGCTTGAGCTCTATGGTCAAATTGTGCCCAAACCCCTGCTGTTGAAGGGCTTGTTAAAAAGGAGGATTCCTAGACCCCACCCCTAGAGGTTATCATCCAATGGGTTTAGGGTGGAGTCCAGGAACATGCATAATTCACAGATATCAGGTGGTTTTGATGCATGTGGTCTGTGCACTATGTCTGAAGACCCACCAGGAAGCTATGGTGCCTGTGGGACTCACACTAACATCCACGCATTTTCCCAAACAGCTGCATGCTTTCAAGGAGAAGTGTGTCCTGCCTATTCCACAGACCCAGCTCACTCAGGAAGAGGCCTTACTGACCAAGCTGTGGGGCAGCGTGCCCATCCTCCGACAGTGGCTCACAGGTCAAGGGCGGCCTGTGTATGACAATCAGGCCTGGGTATTGGCCGCTGTAGCATGCACAGGTACAGAGAAGGCCTGCCTGCCACACCACAGGTCATCTTGGCTACTGTCCAGAGGGCCTGCCCTTTCTCTCAGGCTACCCTTTGGTCACCAATGTGGAAGAGACAGCTTCTCCATAAAGCAAGCACAACCTCCACTCTCACCCACCTTCATCTCAACCATAACTGGTTCAGATGCACCATCTAGTCAAGAGCCCAGCTACTTGTCCCAGGCACCTCCTCCCAACCAACTTCTTTTCCCCTTAACAAAATTGGGCCCACCTGTCAATTCTGCTCCTGACCTCACATTTCCCTGAAACTTTCCCTCACCTGTCCCAGTACAGTAAGCCCCCAGTGCTCTGTTATAGATTCTGCAACCTTTGCCCTGTTAATATACTCTGTGTTGCTATATCACTTGTTTTACCTTATTTATCAGTCTTTATATGTCCTGTTCTTGGGGGCTCTTGGGAGTCTTGAGTGCTAACTTCCTGGTAACTGTGCCCCTCTTCCTTCCACGATGTCACCTAGCATTTAAGCTAGGGCCTGCCCAGGGGAGGCCCTGATAATTCTAGAGTTACAGACTGCCCCTGTTCCAGGCCTCTCTGGCACCTGCTGACACTCTGCCCCTATTCCATGTAGTGCTGCGCTGCCTGGGAATCCCTGCTCGAGTAGTCACCACCTTCAACTCAGCCCAGGGCACCGGTGGGGAACTGCTTGTAGAGGAGTACTACAGTGAAGAAGGACTTCAGAATGGAGAAGACAAGAGAGGCAGAATCTGGTGAGAAGCTCAAAGGGGTAAGGTCCCAGACCAGGAAGGGCTCTAAACCCATGAGGTATAACCTCATGGGAACCCCCAACACACCACTTGGCACTAAGAATAGGCCTTCAAGACTCTTGGAAGCAGGACACTGAAGACCAGTTGTCCTAGGAGTTAAGCAGCCATTTCACAAAGCACCCTCTCATCCCCATGGCAATAAGAGCCTTATTAGTCTGAATCTCTAGAGCTTCTTTTTCTCCCACTTAAATTTTTCCCTTTGCTACTTTCAGGATCTTCCAGACCTCCACAGAATGCTGGATGACTCGTCCTGATTTGCCCCAATATTATGGTGGATGGCAGATTCTGTACTCAAGTCTTCCTAAAGGAGGTGAAGGTAAAGCCTGGAGTTGGGACCAGGATAGGAGGCTGGACAGACCTCACCATGTGTGCAAGGCAATTGGGATCTTATAAACCATGCTGACCTAAATATGAGAGCACCTAGAAGTCATAACACTGAACAATGATGGGTTGTCAGATCAAACCCAGAGCATCAGCAGAGCTGGCAGTCTCATTTAGTATCTGTGTCCTTTCTGTTCTTCAGAAGAGCCAAGAGCTGAATGAGGCACTTGGAGAGGAAGTAGGAGCAGTGAGTGCTCCAAAGACTGTCTACATCTTCAAAAACAGGAGAATCAAAATGAATGATGCTAGCCCCACTGAATACTGAACTGATGCCAGCAGGCTTAATTAATGGAACAAAGGTAGATGAGATGAGGTAGAAACGGTAGTTCATCCATTTTAGATGAACAGGGCAGAGAGTTGAGTCTTAATGAAGGACAGAGGATCTTGAGATGCTGGTGCTGGTGGATGTGCTGAGTCTGGAGATTCTAAAGGTGGGCTTTCTGGGGACTGTTGGTGAAGGGATATCAGGATAGATAGGCTGAAGCCTAAGAAGGAATCTCTGGGAAGCATAAAAAGATGGCTCTTCCTCACTCAGGAACAGAGCTATAACAGAGCCTGGGTCATAGTAAGTAAAGGTAGTTATTGTTGTTAGGTGCCATCGAGTCGGTACCTACCCATAGCCACCTTATGCACAGCAGAACAAAACACTGCCTGATCCTGGGCCAACCTCACTACTGTTGTCACGTTTAAGTCCATCAATGCTACCAATTGGCCAATCCATCTCATTGGGAGTCTTCCTCTTTTTCTCTGAACCTCCACCTTACCAAACATGATATCCTTCTCCAGTGACTGGTCCCTACTGACTATATGTCCAAAGTATGAGAGATAA